CGCTTTCGTTCAAGTACATTAATTCATTTGGAACAATGCAGCGCATTTTTGGGTACGTCAGCAAATTTGTCAATATTACAACATCGCCAAGCTCTTCGCAGCTCACAGCCGCAGATATTCACCATGGAACTCAACTGCTTATTCGCTTAGTACAAATAGCGCAACTTTGGCCGGAGTACACGGCATTACAGGCCAATAATTGCGTCCCGAGTTCGAGCAGCATTGTTTCGCTATCACCATTTCTTGATGACTTTGGAATTATTAGAGTCGGCGGGCGATTAAAAAACTCTATGCTTAGTTTTGAATCGCGCCACCCATGCATTATTCCGAAGGATCATCCACTGACATTTAGTATAATAACCTTTTTTCATCGCAAACAACATCACGCAGGTCCTCAAGCTTTACTCGCCTTCATTCGAATGCAGTTTTGGCCCATAGGTGGTCGGAAAACAGTCACTCGAGTCCTACAAAAATGCATTATTTGCTGCAAATCGAGACTGCGCCTTGTCGAGCACATAATGGCCGACCTGCCTAAAGAGCGAATTCAGGCCTCGCGCCCATTCATAGTCACCGGTGTGGACTACTGTGGGCCATTTTATTACAAGCCTGAAGTACGCAATAAATCGCCCCACAAATGTTATGTAAGCGTTTTCATTTGCTTCGCCACAAAAGCTGTATGGATGGAGTTGGTAAGAGACCTCTCAACAGGTGCTTTCATTGACGCGCTAAAACGATTCATCGCTATGCGTGGCATACCCAGCTGCATCTGGTCTGACAATGCGACGAATTTTGTAGGCGCCAAGAACGAGCTTAAAGAACTACGGAACTTAGCCCTCAGCGAGAAACACCGCAGCGAAGTCCCCAACTTTTGCCTCAGTAATGGCTTTGATTGGCGTTTCATCCCACCTCGCTCTCCGCACTTTGGCGGTTTGTGGGAAGCGGCCGTAAAAACAGCCAAACAACATTTCTATCGTTTCGTTGGCTCATCACTGCTTGGCTTCGATGAATTGCGTACTTTGGTATGTCAAATCTGTGCTGTAATTAACTCTCGTCCTCTCGTACCCCTTTCAGAAAACCCAGAGGATTTAGATGTGCTAACGCCAGGCCATTTCTTGATTGGTGGTTCTCTGACAGCTCTTCCGGAACCGGATCTAACGACGCTAAACTACGACCGACTTGATCGATGGCAGCGTGCAACATACATTAAACAGGTTTTTTGGAAGCGGTGGACTCAAGAGTATCTAACTCTTCTACAGCAACGCGCAAAGTGGCGTTTACCTCATGCCAACATTCAAGTCAATGATGTCGTATGCATAAAGGAAGAAAACTCACCACCACTGAAGTGGCCTCTAGCACGGGTAATCGAAGTTGTTCCTGGAGCAGACGGTGTCGTACGTGTGGCACTTTTAAAAACATCTAGCGGCATAACGCGACGAGCCGTGAACAAGCTGTGTGTCCTCCCGGTGAAGGATTCTGTTGAAAGCCCTGATCTTTCAACGGGGGGCAGGATGTTCGGAGCAGCAGCGGATAAGCCAGCAACATAAAATATGTTTATC